CTATCACTACCGCACCCGTGCTGCCCTACCCTTCCGTGCTTTCCACCCGCCTTCATCGAGCCAGTCGCGACACTTGAGATACAGTCTCTCCCAAGCCCCTTGGCCGAACCAAGCGAACATGCCGCACCACCCCCTGTCCTTTTTTTCCTCTCATTAACCTACCCCGATGCATCGGCGCCCATACCCCCACACCTTTCGCGACACGGTTGTGCGGTCAGTATACCCAGCTTGTCCAGCCCAGCACCAGTGCCACCCAACCTCATTCGTAGTCTACATGATACCTCCTGGCTTAGAAGGGGCGATAAATTCCCGTATCGCATGGACAATACCCCCAATTAACAGCTGCGGGGGAAATGGCCAAGTGGTGGTGCGTACAGTATTCGCACGGTCCGGCTAGTGCGAGTCAGCTATGTTCTTGGGAGCAACTAACTTTCTCTTTTACTGTACGAGTACGCGCCTCTTTTCTCTTTCCCAATTAATGCTTAGTTGGAACGCTCTCCCGGTCACCTAGGCCTGCGCGTCATATTGCCGCCACGAACAAACTATCACCTTTACTCTACCCAAACTTCCACCAGACTTCTTTATCTTTCAGACTTGTATTTGTTTGCTTTACGGGGTTTACATACCATAAGATACTTCTAGCGGCTGGGCGCCTTTCTTCAGGAAACTATTTGCGGGACGGCTTTCCTTTCTTCTGCAGAGTCTGGCACCTGGCTATCTGCTGCGAACGCGGCCCCTAAGCCGACACGGGGACTGAGGAAAGACTGAGCTACGAGTTCAGTGGTGATTGTCGGTCCAACCCCAATAATTAATTACTAGATTTCACATGCATGGAATCTTTAGCCTCTCGCCCCTGGACTACTCGTACTCGAGTACCGCTCCCGACCAGGGGGCAATTTGCGCAAGAACAAAAGCAGTATCAACTCACTGCGATGCCATGTCATGATAGTCCGGTTCTCTCATTGCATCGAACCTCTCCAGGGTGCATACTGCTTGGACAGGTGGGAATGCATAGCTGCTATTGAAGTTGGGGTGAAGCCTAACCTTCCTTTAAGCCACTCCCTGCTCCGGCAGATAGTTGCCACCATAAAGCTCTTCGCCCCGAAAGCTACTTCTCACTTTCCCACCGTTAGTACAAGTACTCGAGTACTGCTTGGCCACCCCCCCCCCCATCCCACCTTCAATCCCTCCACAAAGGTGTCCCAATCGTAACGAAATTTCAAACTTATGCCCGCATCGCATCACCCAAGTTCCTTGACCAACCCCCCCAGATCTCCTCCGCGAAATCTCTCACAGAAGAATCTGGCTTGCTAACAGTGCTCGCTGAGTCATTGCGTTATGCTATATTGTATTGAGGTTGAGTTGCTTTCCTAAAACGAGGATCCCCAATTTCCGATACTAAAATACGCGATTCCCGAACCCACCCTTACCGGCAGTAGTGGAGCGATGGAATGGGGATTTATAATGCTGACAACCAGAGTTGAACCCTGTTTGTGCCGCACCCGTGGACCAGCCTGGCCGCAAATACTTTCACGGGGATCCGCATCTCGTGCAAAGTGCTAGTGTTGTCTCCATACCGGATTAACACCTTCAAAGCTGTCAGATGATAGGTAAATTTACGATCGTACATTACTCTCCTCACTCACGACTGTTGTAGGGTCAGGGTTTTCTTTCGAGAAACCAGTACTCGTATCGCGATCCAACGGAGGGAATGGTGCGATTGGTTGATACTGTACTCGAGTACCGTACAGTGCCGGTATTGCGTTAGCAAGAACCCCGAATATGATGCTGCTATACCTCTAGATGCTTGGTGAAAATACTTGGAACGTAGCCACACACCCTTACTCAGAATAATGTCACGTATGTATAATGTTAGTAAAACCCTTTGGATGCGATCTTCATTTGCAGAACCCCTCTAGATATTACAAGTTAGAGCGTTCATTGCCACGACGATAGTAAAAAGTCTCACCCAACTGTGACCTTTTTGTCCCACTACAAGTACACAGTATCTAATTGACGCGGTACCCAACATCTAAATTCAGACAGTAGACGACAGGAGGGGAGAAAGAAAAGGTGTTGAGAAGGCAAAGATAAAAATACCCATAAAGCAAAATCTATTGTAAGCTGCAGTCGTGGTGGTGGTGATGGAGGAGGTTGTCGTAAAATCAGACAAAGCTTCGTGCCACAGCGGCTATCAGGGAACCCGGGAACATACTTCCACTTGCATGCTGCTGATTCCGGAAAAATAGGCGAGGGAGTCAGGGGACATTATTCGGTGCTAAAGGAGATATCATACTAAACGATCTTAGGCAAGAGGGGTTAATGGGTTCTCCGGGGATCTGGGGCAACAAGTCACTAGCGCAGGGTATCACCTGTGGGGGGTATCCGGGAAAAAGGGCAAAGAGGGAAAGGCGGGAAAGGGTGATATCAAACGGTAGGTATTGGGCGGCTGTGGGAAAACGAAAGCCGCAAGCTTGAATAGAGGAAGAAAGCATTAGTTACGTCTCTTAAGGGCTGACCGCCCGTGCGAGGAGGGCTTTAAAATCTTTTATCAATTTCGCGAGTCCTCAAGGCCGCAAAAGGGAGCATGGTAAGGCCCATATGTCTGGCATGTCTGGGGTTGATGAGCACTGTTCCTACGGTCGCTGCAGACAGCCTCCTATCCGTCCTTGGGAGTACAGTGTTGATCCAGAATCACCTAGACTATCCCGGCTGATGTCTCCCCATCCCCGTAACAGATTCACCGCTGCCTCACGTCCATTCTCGGTAGCCTGCGATATTTGTGTTTGCCCCCAACCGTCCCTGTCTACCGGAGCTAATACCCTCTCATCCCAGTAGCAGCTCGACCACTCCCTCACGCCCCCATTCCTAACTTACCGACCCATTTTGGCCGTGTGGCACCCGTATCATCCACGCTGCTTATATAGGCGCCCTTCATCTCTGCCAATGCCCACTCAATTGGGACAAGTACAGATATAGACCCCACCTGGAGTCCCGCGAACTTGCAAAAGTCTGCAATCTTATGTAGGGGGACACCAGAGCCTGTGCTTCAAGGGAGGTCAACCCTTCCTTATCAATTACAGCAAGTCTTTGGCGCTATTATAGCTCAACACCGTCCATATCAAGGGAAACCTTTCCCGGATCATAATCAGTCCTTCTTGTTCCGCCCTCTAAAGCCTGGCCTAGCATTTACCAGCAGCCTTTCACGCCGCTGGCAAGTGTTAGTTTCTAGTAGAATTGCACGGAGGTTCGGGGAGACCGGCAGAAACCTCGACATATATCCGTTAGCGGATAAGTTATCTTGACTGGGGATCCCCTATCTAACCGACCCTACATATATTTCGGTTTCGGGGATCTAGATAGCAATGTCTACCTCTAGGTTCCCCGTGCACCTAGTCCTAGTCAAAATCTGTCTTCTACCGGTTTAGGTGGGTATACTGAATACTGTCATACATCCCCGGAACTTATTGATACAACCTCTGCTACCCTAGGTGGATGCCTTCCCGCCTTAGTAACAACATGCGGTCTCCCATCTATGGAGCACTAGGGTGGTGTTAGCTATGTGGGGATATACGGATACCCGCACTTAGGTCAGGTATGGAGTTTGGCTTGGCTGGGTTCAGGGCACTCCTATCTTAGGTGTTGGCATTCATAGTTTCCTTCTTAAGTAGCTTTCTCTCTTTCTTCTGTTATGATAGCATCAACGATCATCTCTCCTCCACCTCCGACACGGCTCCATGCTCCACATCACAACAACCGGCTGGGGACATTCTAGCGGTGTCCCGAAGTGATAGAAGAACCTTCACCACTCGGTGATATAATGCTAGCAAATCCCGGTCAGTGACCACCAATAACCTTTTTTTGCTTCCCAAACCTGTCTTGGGAATTACCGAAAACTATGGACTAGCTTTTTCACAAGAATACCCAAACTGCTCCTTTTAGGTGGTAGAATGGAAACGGAAATATGCTATAGCAATACCCTCCTCCTCGGCCTCGGTGGCCCATGGCATAGGATATCTATTGCAAGTGAACTTGGGTCACAACTTGTGCAAAAAAAAAAAAGAAATCCCAACCTCTCACTTTCCCCTTTCCGCGATCCAACCCAACCATTGCAACCGTGCTAGTTCAAAGATTGCTCGTAAGAGTTAGTCTCCCACACTATCAACCCGGCAACCACAAGCGTGGTATCGTAACACCCTGAGTGGGGCTCGAGGGGAGACAGCCAGGCCAGTGGCTCGGGCCGGTCATCGATGGTGATAATTCCTAAAATTTAACCAAAAATTCCTGCCATCATGATGAAATAGTGGCGGTGGTTGCTCAGAGAGCTAGTATTAGTATTCCGGGAAGGGACAGTGTTAGCTAAGTCGTTATGATACTCTGAGGGATTGGGACTGTGAAGGGCCTCGCGGCAAGGCCGAGATTTTGGGTCATTATTCTGCTGGTTCGCCCTTCGGAATGCTATGGTGGATGTGCTGATGATGGATGGTGGTGTTAAATAGTTGGATCCCCGTGAAATAAGGAAAGGTGGAGTTTATCACCACAACCCTGCCTCTTCATTGTGCTGGGAGACGGGTGATCTATCTATGATACAGTTGTAGTCATCAGAGCCGAGCTTTGTGAAACTACCATCAGCCCTGTGGTTGTTGCAGGTCAGGTATGATAGTACAAACAAAACAGGCCACTCCACATATCCCCCCCTCATGGATGTACAAATTTTATCATCAGTGCATACCCCCCCAGCCCCTACCCATATGGCGGTGGAACAGGCATTTTTGAAAAACACCACAATAGGCATTGCGAACCCCCCCCCTTAAACTGATAGATTATACTGTTCAGTACGGGCTCCTTTTATCAGTTTGCTCGGAGTGCTTCAGTTCACCCATGTAACTGATCCTATCCACACAGAGCTCGCTTACGCCCAGCCCCTGGGGGGGCCACAGGGTTAGGTTCGGTTGACAAACAAACAAGCAAACATTCACCACAGAGTTCCGGCAGGTACGATGGAGCTAACTCAGGAGGAATGGACCACCGTGCTGAACTCGAGGAAGCTACGGGATATTGGAAAAGGACGGAAGGGGATGGATGAAAGAGAACGTATCCGGGAGGCGATGGGAGATGGTTTGGGAAGGGTCCGGAGGCCTGCTAGGACCTACAGGACACCAAGCAGAACAATTAGGCGACAGGAGGATGTACCCGCACATGACACTGGTCCGGGAAGGGAGGGTAGGATGGATGTCGTCTTGGAGTCACCACCGTCACCAAAATCTCTTGGTGGGCCTCAACTGCAACGGAATCTCTCTGTATCCTTTGGGCAGGATGATGTTTCTATGGGTGGGTCCCTGGTGGAGGACTTGGAAAGTGATTGTGGAAGCGAGTTGACTCCCGGTGCTGAGGGTGGTGTTGATACACCTACTCTGAGTAGCCTAGAGAAGCGAGGAAGTGGAATTAGTTGGGCGGATCAGGTAGAAGCAGAGGAGGCACAGGGTAGAGGCGGGTCTAAGCGGGCACGGTCAAAGGAGGGAGCTCTGACTGGAATGAATATCAGCCGGTGGGCCCCTGCTGGGGTGCCAAGGGGACCACAGTCAGTGGTGGAGCAGGAGGTGATGGATTTGATAAGGGAGTTGAAAGAGAGAGACCGGAAGAGGGAGGAGGAGCTCAAGGGGCTACGGGTGCAGCTACAGAAGCTGACAACTGCTGTGAGTGAACTTACAGCGATAGTGGCAGGTCAGGCATTACCTGCACATAACTGTGGGCCAGCGGATGTGGGCTGTGGCTCTAAGTTGCCAGTGTTGCGCCAGGGTGATGCAGTGACTCTAGGGAATAGGGGGGGACAGGAGAGGGCATCATGGGCTGGAATAGCAGCTGCAGCTGGCGGAGCATATGCACCTCCGGGAAGCAGAAGGCTATTAGAGATGAAGGCGGAGAACGAGAGGTTGTTGAGAGAGGAGAGGCGCAGTAAGCGGGAGGTGATAATTGCACTAGCAGGGAGTACGAGGGCAACCGATGAGGAAGTTCAGAGAGTTCATGAGGAGCTGGATAAGGAGACTCAGAGTGGTGGTGGAAGTATAATACGGTCCGTACGCCGGGGCCGGAACGAGTCTGGTGCTCAGAAGTTGATAGTTACTGCACTGGATGCTAGTGGTGCTGCAAGGCTACAGCAGATGGGTGGTACGATAGATACTGCTTTGAGGGGGGTAGGACTGGAGGTGGAAGGGGTAGCATTGGTTGAGCGGTGGGCTGGGATTGTGATTTATGGGGTTGATCGAAAGTGGGATGGATCCATGACGGAATTGAGGAAGACATTAGAGGTTGAAAATGGGATCAAGGTTATGAAGGAACCGCGGTGGTTGGGTGTGAAGGCTAATGGGGATGAGCCATATGACTCTCTGGTGGTACATATCTCTATGGAGTCAGAGCGTGCGGCATTGATATCACGTGGATTTGTCTCTATTGAAGGAAGTAGACTTGGACTTCGCAGGTTTAGGCCACCGGGTGAGGTTGTGCAATGCACAAAGTGTGCAGGATTGGGGCACTACTGGTACCAGTGTACAAGGCTTCCAAAATGCTACTTGTGTTCAGGTTCGCATGCTGGATACCATCACCGTTGTATCAGCTGTGACATCAGACAAAGACTTTGTTCACACTGTAAAGTAAAGTGTCCAAACTGTGGGGGTACTCATCCAGGTACTTGGCAAGGCTGTGTGGCATGGAAGAGGGCCAAGCAGGATGCACTCAAAACCTCAGGATTAGTCAGGGCCCACGAGCAACCAGAAAAGGAATCAACTAGTGCTCTGGTCGATCCAATATGACAGAACACATACGAATCCTTCAGGTGAACTGTAATAGGAGTACTAATTGCATGCAAGGAGCATTGGAGTCGAGCAGTGGAGCTGATGTGGTAGTGGTTCAGGAACCATGGGTGGGCGCGGTGGCTGGCGGGTGGATTACGGTGACACACCCAAGTTATTTTCTAATCATACGGGCTGGAGGAGGCAGACGGCCAAGGGTATGTACCTATGTTCGGAAGGATACGGGAGTGGCCTTTTGTGCTAGACCAACACTTTGGGTAGAGGATGATGCAATGATTGTGGATGTGGAAAAAGGGGGTCTCAAATTACGGGTGTGCAATATTTACAACTCAGGGCATGAGGTGCGGGGATGGGTGATGGATCGCTGGCCAGTAGGGCTTGCTCAAGAGGGTATGTTTCTTTTGTTAGGGGATTTTAATGTTCACCATGAGGTTTGGGACGCAGGCTGCAGGGCTGCGGATGCGAGGGGCATTGCTCTGTTGGATACAATGGACCGCGAAAGACTCTGTTTACTAAACCAGCCGGGAGTTTGTACTTGGAGGCGGGGTAGTTCAGAGAGTACTCTGGACCTTGCATGGTGTAATGTGGATACCCACCAGATGGATGTGAGATGGGCAGTATACGAGAATGAGGATATTGGGTCTGACCATGAGGCGATAGCACTTGATATCTAGGGACAGGCGGAGTGGGTGTCATCACCAATTCAGGGGGGTTATATAACTAAGGAGGCTACTGAGAAGGAGTGGGAGGAGTGTGTAAGGGCAGTGGAAGTAGTTGTTAGGGAACGGGAGGGAGAGTGGAATCAGGCATGTGAGGCTTGTGATGGGAGTAAGTTGGCTGATTTACTAGGAGCAGCGTTGATGGCTGGGATGATGGCTTTTAGGAGAAAGAAGATGCATTGGAGGTCAAAGGGATGGTGGGATAAGGAGCTGGGAATGCTGCGTGGCACAGCAACTCGGGCCCGAAGAGTCTGGAAGCAGTCAGTCCTGCAGCAAGACCGAGATGATGCATGGGGGTACTACAAGGTCTGTCGGAACACCTACTTTAGGGCTATAAGGACAAAGAAGAAAAAAATGTGGGAAGACTTTGTAGGAGAGCGAGGTAGGGGGGATTTGTGGCAGATCCTCCGAGTGGTTAAAGGAGTACGGACTACTAGATTACCTGAATTGGTAACTGTGCATGGATCTGCTGTTTCCTTTGAAGAGAAGGAGCAGGCTCTTCGTCAGGAGCTTCTTCCTTGTGCACCACCTGATCGGGGGGCAGAGTTGGTAGAACAAGGAATCTTTGAAGATATCACAGTTGAAGAGCTTGAGCGGGCGGTCTTTTTACAGGCACCCCACAAAGCGCCAGGGGAGGATGGCGTACCATTTCTGATTATTCAGAGGTGCTGGAAAACTCTACGGGAGTGGATTGTTTCTGCGGCAAATGTTATGGTGGGACAGGGGGTTCATCCTGAGAGGTGGAAGCGGGCGGTTGTGGCTGTTATTCCTAAACCAAATAAGCCAGACTATAGTGTGGTGGGGGCCTATAGGCCGATCTCCCTTCTAAATACTATGGGTAAGATGAACGAGAGTATTGTTGCGCAGAGACTACACCTGTTAGGGGAGGAGAAGGGCAAGCTACACCCTAATCAATATGGTGGTCGGAGGGGCAGGTCGGCAGAGTTGTCAGTAGCATTTACTGTACAAGATATGATAGAGGAGGTACGCGACGGGCAGGAGGTTATGCTTCTTGCGATTGATGTTAAGGGGGCTTTTACCAATGTCTTACGTGGAGCCTTAGTTGATACCATGCTTCGTTTAAATTATCCAACATATATCGCTCGTTGGGTCAAGGACTTCATGAGTGGCCGTGAAGCTAGTTTACGGTTTGATGGGACTCAGGGGCCTTGGGCAGCAGTTGATACCGGTATTCCACAGGGGAGTCCTTGCTCTCCAGCTCTGTTTAACATCTATTTGGCCCCACTACTATATTTGCTGCACAGAAAGTTTAAGCAACAG